GATGGGACGCTAATACATAAGCATTGTGTGGAATTGGAGCAAGTCACCTAAACCAAACAATGGACGGAGGTAAAAGAAAACATTTCAATAATTTCAGTGACTTTGAAAAAATCCTCTTGAAGCAAATTGTCAAACCAACAAATTATCGAGAAAAAACAGCATGATTCATCAACCGAAAACAAGAAAAAGAATGCCTAGACTACCATGTGTAATGAATTCAACTCAAATGAAAAAGTAAACAAAAGGACGCTACAACAACTTGAGGTAAGATGCTGTATTGTTGGCCCACTTTTACAAATCAGTCACTTTGAAATGTCTGTTTTCTTGTGTAACACAACACAGTGGGGCCTAATTGTATTTGTGTGACAGAAATATAACAAACAATATCATACATAATTACTAATATAATTCCTGTATTATTTTGTCTTTCTAAGTTCCTGTGGAAAAACATAAAAATCTACTTAAAGAAGACAAAATGCTGTTGCTTGTAGGTAGCGTTTCAAGACTGGTGGAGGTACCCCAGTTAGACCAGAGACAGATGAGCAGGGGGACTTGTTGACAGGGGTCATTGATAACCAGCAACCCCTGGAAGGTATCCCCGATGATGACCATTTGGACAGTTCAGATGGGGGACCGTTCCAATCCTCATTTGGTTGGACACGTTCATTCAACATGTGCCATCCCAGGACTGCAGGCGATATGCAATGTTGTCAGTCATCTCTTGCACTCCCATAATAAAAAGTATGTAATGAACTCAACTCTTGAAGAAATAATGTTCTCTAATGCAGCAATGTAATCATTTTCTAGAGGCAGATGATAACCATAGCTTGAAGGGGACTTGTCTTAGCAGGATGAAGGTCAGCCCGCAACATCTGCAGCAGCCAGGAGGGAAGGTTGTGTCACTAACCTGGGCCAGAGGACAAAGACGGAGGCTGAGCATGCGTGACAAACTAATGTATTTAAAAGAAGAGCACTATATGAAGATGCAAATCCTTTGTGTTGAGGTGGCTATGAAGGAGGAGGAGAGAAACAGGAAGCAGCAGCAGTACCAATGTTCTTCTCAAACCAGCACCAGTTCTGGGTCCTGATATTTCCATTTGTGAATTAAAAACATTTTTGTTACCGATCCATGGCTATTGTTTGCTTCAATCACTTGAGCTGTCTTTGTTGTGAGAAGTGCAGCATAGCAAAAGCATCTCTGCAGGCTAGTCCATTTCTGTCATTGTCTGCCTCAACCATGGGAACATCTGGGCCATCCTCATCTTCAATGCGAGGATCTGGGCAGCCATACTGTTTGAGGGAATTGTGAAGCACTGCTATTGAAATTATGACAATGCAGCATCTTCTTGGTTGAATGCGCAGTGTGTTTCTGAGACACTGGAAACAACTCCACTACACCTCTGGTGCGGATATGAGCTCGGTTGTACTGTTGTTGCTCAGTTCCTATTGCATGAAGATGAAGTTGGTCTGTGCATACCCACTGTCACCAAGTATGATTCCATTGTTGTCCTCCTTCATGCTGAGTTTTGGAAAATCCTTCAGTCATGAGTTGCACCTTTCCAACGTGCAGTTATGTTGGAGAACTACAAATTGATTTAATCAAAATAATTCAGTGGGTTTATCCTGTCTATAACTGCCCTTCTGTCTGTCCTTGGTGGTGCTCTTTGATCATCATTGAAATAGTCCAGGTAATCCATTTTCCTCCATTACCAAGGTCAACCTGGGGGCCAACATCCTTTAATCTGAAGTTAAGCCTGCCTCTGGCCAGGTTTAATTTAAGCCTTCACTTAGATCTAGATTAACTCTAATCGTCCTAGACTAGGGCAAGTCTGATACTATTTTAAACCATGTCTGAGAAATGCAATTTCAGTTAATCCAGTTTAAAAGTGGAATTTAGTCTAGGATCAGGCTTAATCTTTGTCCGCGAAACCGCCCCTCAGTGTACAGTACCAGTCAAATGTTTGGACACACCTACTCATTCAAGGGTTTTTCTTTATTTTTACTATTTTCTACATTGTAGAATAATAGTGAAGACATCAAAACTATGAGATAACACATATGGAATCATGTAGTAACCAAAAAAGTGTTAAACAAATCAAAATGTATTTTAGATTTTAGATTCTTCAAAGTAGCCACCCTTTGCCTTGAGAAATATGAGAGCATGTAAAACAGCCCAGCGCTGTACCAGTGTCACTAACAGAGGCAATCAATAAGTCATGTGAGCAGCAACAGCAGGTGTGGTGATTGTGTTACCGGGAGGGAAAGATCATTAGAGTAAAAAGAGCCACCTGTTGCCCTTAGGTCACTCCCCAGTGCGTTGCTTTCACTGAATGAGTTTGATATTCACAACAACAAAAGCCTGTGTATATAGCAAGCTAACAGCAGAGTGATTATGCTAAGTTATATGGAATTGTTTTAAGAAGGTCATACCAAGGATAATTTTGCTGTTTGATTTAGAATTTTACGATCCCTTGAAGTATAAAAAATATACAAATAAAAAGATTTGATAAATGTTTATTTGGCCTTACTGCTATTAGCCCATACAAACGCATTGAATATCAGATTCACCACATGGAACAACAGGTAGTCCCCCCCCCCCCCCCAAATAATCTAATAATAATAATAATCTGAGTGTCTGTATCTGAGAGATATAAGAAAGAGCAGGAATGTATTTATTTTTTACAGTCTCCATAATATATACTTCCATTAATTTTTTTCAACTGGTACTGGGGGACCTTCAGACGAGTCTTGTGAGGTCTGTGGGCGTCCTAGAGCAAAAATAACTGACGTACGTATTCGTGAGAGTCTCACCTCTCCACAGAGGAATTAGTATGTAGCCCAAACTGTTCGGACGTTACAGACAGAAGTTGGCAGATCGGCTGTACCGACTTCAGACGACTCCCAAGACGCTTGTGGGGGTCATAGAGCAAATCGTGTTCGTGAGAGTCTCATCTTTCCATAAAGTGGTCATAATAGCTTGTAGGCCAAACTGTTCGGGCGCTACAGACAATTTTGTGAGAATACCGATTTTCGGGATGTCTCATGGTCTGACAAACACCGCTCTAGCTCTGTCACCTTTCACCACAGATGCGGAAGTGCGACATTGATGGATGTGGTGGATTGAGACTCCTCCAATGCAAAAAACCTGATATCTCTAGCTTAAACTAACAGATTTTTATGGGAATGTTTTTTATTATGCTAATTATATTTCAGTGGGGGCGCGGACATCGGCTCTATAATTTTTTTCCAGAAACCATTATGAGCTGGTTAACAGCAAAACAGGCCCTGGACCGGTCACTAACGGATACAGGGGCTCATTGAGCGTCTTTCACTGAGCTCATTAAAGCCAAAGCTCTGCCCAGCATGATTCTCTGTCAGAGTATCCTGGCTATGTCTTGTTAGCGGGAAGTTTTGCACCCATTTTTGTTGGGGCTGGCAGCTAGGTGCCGTGGCGCACAAAGCTCATTATTTTCGCGTACGTGCTGTTTGTGCCAGTGGGACACACACACACACACTCGTAGCGCTCATACAATTAACTGGGCAGGAGTGTGTGTTGAGGCCTGTCAAAGTGTGTATAGGGTGTTGTAAATAATGTGCGGTATCCACACGGCTGGGTTCCCACAGTAACAGTACAGAGCCGTATCTAAACTCATAGTACTAGCCAGACACACACACACACACACACAGCTCATATCCTGTTTCCCTCCCACCAAATTATTTATCAGCCTGCCATGTCCTTCCCCTTGTTTCTCTCACAAGCAGCTTGTTCCTTTCAATGTTTTGCCATTACCTCAGACTCTGTATAGTACTGGGAGAATAACAGAGTTTCTCTCACAAGCAGCTTGTTCCTTTCAATGTTTTGCCATTACCTCAGACTCTGTATAGTACTGGGAGAATAACATTTTACATTTACATTTTAGTCATTTAGCAGACGCTCTTATCCAGAGCGACTTACAGTTAGTGAGTGCATACATTCTTTTATTTTTTTATTTTTTTTTTATTCTTTTTTTTTTATATATATATATTTTTTTCATACTGCCCCCCCGTGGGAATCGAACCCACAACCCTGGCGTTGCAAACGCCATGCTCTACCAACTGAGCTACATCCCTAATAACAGAGTTTCTCTCACAAGCAGCTTGTTCCTTTCAATGTTTTGCCATTACCTCAGACTCTGTATAGTACTGGGAGAATAACAGAGTTTCTCTCACAAGCAGCTTGTTCCTTTCAATGTTTTGCCATTACCTCAGACTTTGTATAGTACTGGGAGAATAATAGAGTTTCTCTCACAATCAGCTTGTTCCTTTCAATGTATTGCCATTACCTCAGACTCTATAGTAGCCTACTGGGAGAATATCAGAGACTTAGTTGATGAACTTGACAACAAACACTCAAACATTGATTTGTGTTAGTATGTTAATGCAATGTTAATGAAGAAATATATAAACATTTTAGTCCTTTCCAGGTTGAAGTAGAACATTTTCAGGAGTCCCTTATGAGACATTAGTAAATGGACAGGCTCTTGATATACACCACAACTGGTGGAGGCCTTCTCATGAGAATGTTTAGATGGTGTTAATGTTAGTAAAAGAAGTGCTTTTGATGTTGCAGACCTTTCTGGCTCCTATGAATCAAGTGTTCCCTGCTGAGGAAGATGTCAACAAACATATGGAGGACAACTGTAAGTTCACACTCTCAACTTAGCCTAGTAGCCTAGCGGTTAAGAGCGTTGGGCCAGTAACTCAAAGGTTGTTGGTTCGAATCCCTGAGCCAACTAGGTGAAAAATCTGTCTGTGCCCTTGAGCAAGGCACTTAACCGTAATTGCTCCTGTAAGTCACTCTGGATAAGTGTGTCAGATAAATAACTAAAATGTAAAGAACTTACCTTTATCCTCAAGTTGATATGGACTTAATGTTTGTGTATGTAACTTAATGCGCAGACATTTTTAAAGAATGCTTCCTCACAAGCGACTTTTGTTTATTCTCTCTTTCAGGTTCTCTTATGTACCTGAATGAAGGCACGCTCTTAAACAACGTCCGAGTGCGGTATAGTAAAGACAAGATATATGTAAGACATTCCAGATCAATGGTACATTAATCCTAGGCCTCGAAGATAGACCATTCTCTTCCTGTGAGAGACATCTGGTGGTCATAGGCCTAGTTGCTCATCAAGTTGTGAAAATGTTGGTGGTTCTCAACTAGGGGAACTAGGACCCTTGGGGTACTTTGCCTATCCGCAAGGGGTACTTGTGAAGACTCGTGAGACCATAGATTGGTAAAATGCACATGAGGGGATACTTCAGGGTTACTCCAGGGAGAGCAAAATGTAGTTGGTGGTACAGCAACCGAAAAAGGTTGAGAACCACTGCTCTATCTAATGTGATTATTTTTTTGTAACAACTTATTTTTTTAATGACTTTTTGCAACACAGACATATGTGGCCAACATCTTGATTGCGGTGAACCCTTACTATGACATCCCCAAACTGTACGCTCCAGAGACCATCAAGTCTTATCGGGGCCGGTCCCTGGGCACTCTACCACCTCACGTCTACGCCATCGGTGAGAGCACATATCTCTTATTACAACAATGGCTGCTATACTGCCTGGTTACTGGAGATGAATACAGTGTGTTTAAAGCAATGGCTATATTTGAGTAACATTTGAATTAAGGCTAGGTGTTGTCAAAGCATCATATCCATTACATGATTGATGATGTGGTTTTTCAGCGGACAAGGCCTACCGGGACATGAGGGTCCTGAAGATGAGCCAGTCCATCATAGTGTCTGGAGAATCTGGGGCTGGGAAGACAGAAAACACCAAGTTTGTCCTCAGGTCTGGCCTAAAGGACCACTATAATCTTGTTAGTTGTTACAGACAACCATACTAATCTTAAAGGTAGACTCAGCGAGATGACGTTGCATGCACAAAGGAAACACTGGGTCAATTTCCGCAACGACTAAGAGCGCTTAAGCTCAAGGCTAAACTTCTCCTCTGTTTTGGTCCTGTATAGGGATGTGGCGGTCATGACATTTTTTCAGCCGGTAACTGTCATGCAAATGACTGCCGGTCTCACTGTAATTGACCGTTAATTAACATAAACATGTTTAGCATCTCCAGGCCTCCACACATACAAGCAGCTGATGCGCGCCTTTGGAACATCTACATTTTAAATATAGACAAAAATATATATTTAACATACACTTTCACAATAAATCCATTATCTAGTTCATTTAGCAGACAAGATCTGCTTATAAATCCCATTCCATTATTTTATATTATGATTTTGTAGTAAGAAGAATATAATTGATCTTAGCTGAATGACATAGAATGGATATTTTTACCATTCCCGAACGAGTGAAGTGGCTATTTAAAACAGGTCCTATATGCTAGATTTAGTTATTTGGCAACTTTAGTTGTGAATGATACAAACCTTAGAATGTCTTAGAAATCAAAACATATGATGCGACTATATTTATTTTTTGAAAAAGTTGCAAAAAAGCTTGCCTCAGGCTGCACACGCTGTTGTTCTCTCAAGTGATCATATTCTCACCCATCAAACTATTCTCAATTTAATCTTGTCTTTAATATGTGAAATGTATTTAGATTTAGAATGGGCCATTATCCAATGGGCAGGAACAGGGGCAGAGGAAAGAAGACATGTGTATTTGAATAGTGAATGGAGGCCGCTTTCCCAGTTCCTTTTTCAATCATGTCGGGTAGCCTACTCCGGTTTTACAGTGGAGCAATGTGCTTAATATTAGCAGCTGAGAAATGATTATAGTAGCAGTAGAAAGCTGGGGTCCACCCTCTTTTTAGTGGCAACTATCAAAACCCTGCTTTCACACAGGATTGCATATAGAAATGTCTGGGCTTATAAGAACACTTATTTCACTCCACGCATCAACCACTGTTTGAGGAGCAGCCAGCCTCTCACTGCGCGACAGGTGATATTCTGCCCAAACTCTGTATGCCATGGGCTCTCCAACCCTGTTCCTGCAGCCACCAAGTTAAATCTATTTGGGAACATCGATAGTAACATGTTTTCACAACGAAACAAATGTCATTAAACTGTTGACAGCCCCTCTCTGCACGCTCGAGCGAGGAAAGGAATGAAGGAGAGAGAGGAGGAGATGGAAATGCACGATGGTGAGATAGTCTGTAGCTAAATGGAATGTCAGCCTATTAATTATGAAAATATAAAAAATGCCTTATTACTAGACTATTCAAAATCAAATACAAATTCACTATAATTGTAGGCTAACTAGCCTACTCAGTAAGCCACCCTGCACAATCAATGAACCAACAGCATCGCCTAGGCCTTATAGGCTCTCTCCCCCAGACACATGGATAAAAGTTTGGAGCGTAGCATACGGTACCCAGTCCATCCAGTATGCATAATAATACAGTCCATACTCAAAGGCGATTACTTGAGTTTGTTTAATTTTTGTAGTACAGTGCATTCGTAAAATATTCCCTTTTTCCACATTTTGTTACGTTACAGCCTTATTCTAAAATTGATTAAATAAAAAAAGTCCTCATCAATCTATACACAATATCCTATAATGACAAATCAAAAACAGGTTTTTAGAAATGTTTGCAAATGTATTACCCAAAAAAACATTGCTATGATACTCAAAATTGAGCTCAAGTGCATCCTGTTTCCATTGATCATCCTTGATGTTTCTACAACTTGATTGGAGTCCACCTGTGGTAAATTCAATTGATTGGACATATAATTTGGAAAGGCACACACCTGTCTATATAAGGTCCCACAGTTGACAGTGCATGTCAGAGCAAAAACCAAGCCATGAGGTCGAAGGAATTGTCCGTAGAGCTCCGAGACAGGATTGTGTCGAGGCACAGATCTGGGGAAGGGTACCAAAAGATTTCTGCAGCATTGAAGGTCCCCAAGAACACAGTGGCTGCCATCATTCATGAATGGAAAAAGTTTGGAACCACCAAGACTCTTCCTAGAGCTGGCCGCCCGGCCAAACTGAGCAATCGGGGGAGAAGGGCCTTGGTCAGGGAGGTGACCAAAAACCCCATGGTCACTTGGTTAGAGCTCCAGAGTTCCTCTGTGGAGATGGGAGAACCTTCCAGAAGGACAACCATCTCTGCAGCACTCCACCAATTAGGCCTTTACGGTAGAGTGGCCAGACGGAAGCCACTCCTCAGTAAAAGGCACATGACAGCCTGCTTGGCATTTGCCAAAAGGAACCTAAAGGACTCTCAGACCATGAGAAACAAGACTATTTGGTCTGATAACTCTTTGGCCTGAATTCCAAGCGTCACGTCTGGAGGAAACCTGGCACCATCCCATCGGTGAAGCATGGTGGTGGCAGCATCATGCTGTGGGGATGTTTTTAAGCAGCACGGACTGGGAGACTAGTCAGGATCGAGGCAAAGATGAACGGAGCAAAGTACAGAGAGATCCTAGATGAAAACCTGCTCCAGAGCACTCAGGACCTCAGACTGTGGCAAAGGTTCACCTTCCAACAGGACAACCACCCTAAGCACACAGCCAAGACAATGCAGGAGTGGCTTTGGGACAAGTCTCTAAATGTCTTTGAGTGGCCCAGCCAGAGCCCGGACTTTAACCCAATCTAACATCTCTGGAGAGATCTGAAAATAGCTGTGCAGCGACGCTCCCCATCCAACCTGACAGAGCTTGAGAGGATCTGCAGACAAGAATGGGAGAAACTCCCAAAATACAGGTGTGCCGAGCTTATAGCGTCATACCCAAGAAGAGTCAAGATTGTAATTGCTGCCAAAGGTGCTTCAACAAAGTACTGAGTAAAGGGTCTGAATACTTATGTAAATGTGATATATCTTTATTTTTTATTTTTAATACATTTGCAAACATTTCTAAAAACCTGTTTTTGCTTTGTCATTATGGGGTATTGTGTGTAGATTAATGAGGGGGGGGGGAAACAATCAATTTTGGAATAAGGCTGTAACGTAACAAAATGTGGAAAAAGTCAAGGGGTCTGAATACTTTCCGAATGCACTGTATAGGCTAGACCAAATGTACCAAAGACATCTTAAATATGTTTTTCTGCATTGCGTAATATGCGGTAGGATATTAGTCTTTGTATTGGATAATGGCACAATCTTTATTTTAATTCAGGCTTTTTTTCGGGCTTGGGCTATAGGCGTATGCATCAGCGCTAATATGGGTCTGGTTGTATGCGGCGTCTTAAATGTTTTGAATTAATAATCACCTTTAGAAAAAGCTGTCCATTTTCGTTGTGTTTGGAATCGAAATAAGATCCACCACAACCTTTTTTCCCACTCAGTTTCAACCTGAAGTAGCACTTCTTTCTTCAAGTTGATTGATCACAGTAAGGTCAAACAATGTAGCCTAACGGTTGAATTTCAAACGCATAATACTGTTTTGATATGATTGTTTGATGTGATTTTCGATTGCATTTGCATTGATGTCAGAGTGATTAGAGCGACAATGGAGTGCTGAGTACCAGGCCATTAGCGACCTGACGGTTGTTAGCTAGTTGGGTACTACCAACGTATCAGAGCTATTAATGTAGCCTACAGTGCGTATAGGAGGAGATGAATGTGCCTCAACGTTCAGGTGGAATTTGACTGTGGTCATGAATCATGACATCCAGTGTGGCGGTAATAGGGTCACCATAACAGCCCTAGTCCCATAGCTACCACTTTGAAACAGCATGAAGAGCACATGCACATAATAATGTGTGTGACTGTGTGAGAGAAGCAGTGCTGTTCTTTGTGATGTCATCTAGTTGAGTCTATCTTTAACCAAACTTGTGTTGTGTATAATGACATTGGTCGTCAATGCATAAGCCATGGTTTCTGTAGTATACCTCATGTCCAAAAACTTAATATAATATAGCATCGTTGTTAGTCTTCATCTGACTTTCATCCCATAGATATTTAACAACGTCATACGGCACCGGTGAAGATATTGATGAGAGAATTGTTGAGGGTAGGATTTAACATATAACTTCACTAATAACTTCCTAATCATACTTAGGCCATCTATAGTTGAAGAGATCTCAAATACTTATTTTGTGCCTGTGAATTTCAGCAAACCCCCTGCTTGAGGCCTTTGGAAACGCCAAGACAGTCAGGAATAACAACAGCAGTCGTTTTGGGAAATTTGTGGAAATCCACTTCAATGAAAAGGTTAGCCATCATTTTCTGTGGCAAATACAATTTCGTCATGATAAGGAATTTCAGTATTTTGGTAAAATTCTATGTGCGTAAGGCATTTCAGTGTATTGGTCTGTTTCATTGTTGCTTCATCGGCCCAAATGTTCTGTGTGTATGCATCCTGCACCTGTGTGTGTGTGTGTGTGTGTGTGTGTGTGTGTGTGTGTGTGTGTGTAACAGAATAATGTGGTAGGTGGCTTTGTGTCCCACTACCTGCTGGAGAAGTCAAGGATCTGCATGCAGAGTAAAGAGGAGAGGAACTACCACATCTTCTACAGGCTGTGTGCTGGAGCCTCTGAGGACATCAGACAGAAGCTGCACCTTGACTCCCCTGACAGCTTCAGGGTCAGTCTCACACATGCATACACAGAGCGCAACCTATAATAATAATAATATGCCATTTAGCAGACGCTTTTATCCAAAGCGACTTACAGTCATGCGTGCATAATTTTTTTTGTGTATGGGTGGTCCCGGGGATCGAACCCACTACCTTGGCGTTACAAGCGCCGTGCTCTACCGGCTGAGCTACAGAGGACCATATAGAGGACCTGTGTATCACTGAAGGGTGTTTCCAGAGAGTGTCAAGTCTTTGCATACCAAGTTGAGAGAATGGATGGCTGAGTCCTTTGAAAGAAAGCTGCAAATAGCCCTGTCCCCCATGCCTGACTGTGTTCTTTTAGAGGGGGAGGTCAACTGTCCCTCTCCCTGCCTAATGGTCGTCTGTTCCTCTCCCTGCCTAATGAAGCAACACAGTCCTCCTGCCAAATTTTTCCACCATGAAGTAAATTGTGTAAATGGAAAACTCAATTGAATCGTCAGTCGTGTCATTGGTGGACATTTTCCATTGTCTTTTCTATTTTAGATGGGCATCTTCCACTAAAAAGCATGAGCTGACGCAAACCCCAAAACAGTTGGTAGAGGTGCTGACTGACGGCGAGTAAACTGTATGCTATAAAAATAATAAGTTGCACACTATATACGAGCTCCCAGTAATTTATTGGATAAACCACCAACGTTTCGTCATCACTGTGCCTTCTTAATTTTTCCTCTTGACATAATCTTGCTGCCAAGTAATGTAAAAGTAGTCCTAGACAACAGAGGCTTTCCACAATGTTCTCCACTGAACCAGTTACAGGCCTAACACTGGACAGGAGTTACGCTATTCTCTACATGACCACTAGATGTCATGTGTGCTATATCTAATGAACTAAAGTCTGTTACTTGTGTTTGAAAGTGGAGAGATTCTGCACATACTTAGTATTTGTTAGGCATTTCTCTGTCTTGGCTGTGCCCCCAGTGTAACTAAGCGCACATTGGTGAATGTGGGATTTGTGATGGAATAGAAGTACGATCGGTGTGTGTTCTAGAACTAACACACTAAAGGTGTTAGGGGATTAGCTAAATTCCTTGGTTCATTTCACCCTCGCTCTAAACAACGCTATAACAATGCTTCAACAACTATAGTTGTTGTTTTGGGTATTTTTCACAGTATGATTATATCGAGTCTCCACGGAGACAGTCACATCAACAGAGGCAATTCATTCCAATGCAATTAAAACCAAGCCAACTGTGAAGCCACATTTACATAATAGATAGTTAATCTTGGAACATGGCTAAAAGCAATGCCACTTTTCTTGCATTCATTGTAACCCTACAAAATGTATGAAATACTAAATTATACAAGTTATTTATTAGCATCAATACTGGAGTTGAGAGAACAGAGATATTGGCTGAGGATAGGATACTGTATTTTCACAACCAGACCTGCAATGTAAAAGCAGTGTTATCAATAATGCTACCTCATTCACTTTGCACATAAGCCACTGTTAGTCTCTTGTTCCAAGTCGTCGTCGTCAGTCTCATTCTAGTCATATCTTCTGCCGACGTCTATATCTCTCGATCATAAACATATCCAACATAGTTTAGCTTATACGGTTTGTCTACACTTAGGTTATTTCTTGAATGCTAATTGTTTGTGTGTGTTCTCTTTTGTCTTCGAAGTATTTGAACCGAGGATGCACCAGATACTTTGCCAGCAAGGACACAGACAAACAGATCATGCAGAATCGCAAGAGTCCTGAGGTATGGTACCTTTCAGCCTATTCTGTTTTACCTCTCTGACCAGTGAAGGCCTTCACAGCTGGTAGTGCTTGATTTATTCCAAATCCTCCTGGTCACAAGTGGCTTTGAATTTAATTTGAATATGAACTTTAAGGACTTATTTAGTCATATAAATGTATTGAGTTATTGGTACAGGTATTCATGCAAAACTGTATCAGGATTTGTCTTTAGAAATAAAAAACTTGCGGTGCAAAACGTTATTGTACTGTATGCTCACTAAACATTGACATGAGAGAAAACTCTAAGTATAAATTATTGCAGATGACAATTTGTTTTGTTTCAGAATGAGTTGAGGTCTGTGTTTTTGATAAATTACCGTAATTTTCAGACTATAAGCCGCGCCTTTTTTCCCATTTTTCGACCCTGCGGCTTATATAACGGTGCGGCTAATCTATGGATTTTTACAGCTAACGGCCACTAGAAGACCTCCTAAATCTATGGATTTTACAGGTTACAGTCCACCAACTTTAACTCTATGGGCTCTATGACCGGTCCGCGCCCCCCACCTTTAAGCGGCGGGCTCCAGCAGGAAAAGCTGGAAGCCGGAAAAGAGTGAGACAGGTAGCGCGCAAAAGTAAAAGTGGAACCGAGAGTGGTACGAGAGACAGAACGAGAGCAAGACAGACAGACATTACGAGAGCGAGACAGTTTGAAGTTTGAAAGTTGAAAAGTTTGTGTGTCTGAAACGCTATGTGATACAGTACAGTTTACACAGCACAGTATATGTTCTGTAGCTACTATTGCACTAAATGGTCACACTTGAATACGTTTTGCAAATATGCAACTTGTTTGTTGAAATGTTAATAAATGGGAGCTTCCTCAAGCAGCCATCTCTTTCCCGACAATCCCCTCTGTGCACGAACCCTTACATATGGTAATTAAACATGAAAACACCTGCGGCTTATAGTCCAGTGCGGTTTATATATGTACACATCATTCAATTTAGCTGCTGCGGCTTATACTCCGGTGCGCCTTATAGTGCGGAAAATACGGTATGTAAGATGTGAAATTTTGCCAATGCTGGAAATGTGTAATTAATTTTGTTGTTAACGCACCATTATTTGTCCCTCGGGTGTATTGCCAATACATACATGTGACTGCTCACTGTGTGAAGTAGGAACATGTATAATTGTTTGCTGATAAAACATTTATTGTGCACAAAAAAGGAAAATAGATAGAAACCTTGGCACAGGTGAAAGTCCCGCCGATCTCTTGTAGGCTATGTGTGAATTGTTATATTCCTGTATAGACAAAATCAAACAGGCCTATGTCTCTACCATTTTGACAATTAACCAAGTGTACCTTTTCACAGCTTCTATTCAGTGTGTTGAGAGAGCAATGATCTCATAACACTTGGGGTGTTACTAATCAAGCTTGTTGTGCGTCTCTTTGCCCTGCCTCGGGTCAATGTAATGCAGGATAATAAGGTGGGGAGAGACTCAGCTTCACATGCATGGGATTGTAGTGCAAACAGGACCTTATACCGAGCATGTTTCTTTTATCAGTGTGCATGGATGGGGCTTGGCTATTTCTTTTTTTGTCTAGCTTCTATCAGGTTCAGAATGTCACAGTGTAGTGTATTATCAGCCTAAAGAGACATTGTTACAGATACACACTTGTGACAGGTCAGTTGAAATCCAATAACCAAAATCTCACAGTAGTGTACAGGGGTTTTCCTGTATCAAAAAGGGGCTTAGGAGATGGGCGTGGCAAGGGATGTGGCAGGGGGCACAGAATTATTACATATTTAAGCCAATTTCCTGCAATTCTACACATTTCTCCATGGCGCTGAGAGAAATAGCTTTAACTGAAACAATTTCTCTCAGCTCCATGGCAAAATGTCTAGAATTGCAGGACATTAGCTTTAAAACTGAAACAAATGTCCTGCAAATCTATTATTCTTCCATGGAGCTGAGAGAAAATGTTGCAGTTTTAAAGCTAATTTTCTGCAATTCTATGCATTTTGCCATGCTCAAACATAATAACAAAATCAATACTGCTAAATTCGTTATTTTAGAAATGTTCAATTCTCCCCGACTGTCTAGCTTTTATTTTGGTGATGGCTAGTTCTGAAAGATTATATTATTTATAAAATATATAGCTCCATTACCTTTTCTACATGCTTTATCTGGTTTTAGTCTTAAGTTTACACTGAAAGTGTTTTTCCATCCTGAATATATATTTTTGGTGACTATTTGGACTTAAGTGTCCCGAAAAAACACTTAGGCGGCCCGCCCAAGGATTTCAATAGCAGGAAAATCCTTGGTGTAGTAGTATTGAACAACATAATACTGTGACATTCGCTTTGGTGTGCCTCTGTTTTCTGCTTTGAAGTCTGCCAGCCCTCCTTCAAACCAGAAATCACAAATCCACTGTACTTTTCTATGCCTCTGCTTATATCTGTCAGTGGTGGATTTGTAATTTCTGATATTAAAGGGTGAGAGGGAGTATTTGATGCTATGCCAGTGTGAGGTAGGTAACGTAGAGATACGGTCTTAAGGGCAGATATTCAGGAGGAGGCCGAAGGTTCTGGTGCAAAGGTGTTCATATTTATTCACAGTGTTCAATAGTGATAGCCGCCAATGAATATTTACAAGACAAACAGGTAGACAATAGAATTACTTCTCAAACAAAATAAACTGCAAAAAGCTTAAAAATGGCTTACCCTGTAGCTTCCATAGCTCTTACAGGCTGGGGGTGTACCTGGCTCAAGGAACCTACCCAGTTGAATTCTAAAACAGAACTGAATTACTCTCCAAAACAATCCCATATATATACAGTACCAGTCAAAAGTTTGGACACACCTACTCATTCAAGGGTTTTTCTTTATTTGTACTATTTTTTTACATTGTAGAATAATAGTGAAGACATCAAAACTATAAAATAACACATATGGAATCATGTAGTAACCAAGAAAGTGTTAAACAAATAAAAATATATTTTATATTTGATATTCTTCAAATAGCCACCCTTTGACTTGATGACAGTTTTGCACACTCTTGGCATTCTCTCAACCAGCTTCACCTGGAATGCTTTTCCAACAGTCTTGAAGGAGTTCCCACATATGCTGAGCACTTGTTGGCTGCTTTTCCTTCACTCTGCCGTCTGACACATCCCAAACCATCTCAGTTGGGTTGAGGTCTGGGGATTGTGGAGGCCAGGTCATCTGATGCAGCACTCCATCACTCTCCTTCTTGGTCAAATAGCCCTTACACAGCCTGGAAGTGTGTTGGGTCATTGTCCTGTTGAAAAACAAATGATAGTCCCACTAAGCCCAAACCAGATCGGATGGCGTATTGCTGCAGAATGCTGTGGTAGCCATGCTGGTTAAGTGTGCCTTGAATTCTAAATAAATCACAGACAGTGTCACCAGCAAAGCATCCCAACACCATAACACATCCTCCTCCATGCTTTACGGTGGGAACTACAATGCAGAGATCATCCGTTCACCCACACCGCATCTCACAAAGACACAGCGGTTTGAACCAAAAATCTCAAAT